TACTGTGTTGTTGTTTGCTTTGCTCAGCCTGTGTGACTGTTGCTCCGCCTTTTGGTCACCTCGGGGAAAAGTCAGAAAAACCAAGGGCAGGAGTAGGCATTTTCCTGGGGAAAAGCGAGGAGAAGGAGCAGCTACCAGGATTTCGCAGGTGGGGGAGTGCGTGTCTCGCCGGCCTAAACAAATGCAACATTTTCGGGTTCGGGCCCCAAACAACAAGCAAGCACCATGACTACAAAATTTATTTTTCCTCGCATCGGGAAAAGCCGCAAAAGTTTTTCCAGGTGCGGTTTTTGCGGTACAAATTTTCAGGCCTCAGGGCGATCCAAATGCAAATTAGCCCGGTTTTAGGGGTAATTGGAATGGACGGCGGAGAGGAGAGGTCCGGGTCCTGCGTGAAAAGTCAGCTCGGTGGAAATGATTGATATTTTTTGCGGCAAAGTCCTGATAAGGGTTCGTGTGTCGAGGGTGTGGAAAATGGTTAGCCGCTAGGGTTTGACATGTTTACATGGCTTTCTATATTATTTTTTTTGCAAAAAGAGTTGCGATATGAAAAATGTTTAAAATATAGAGGGTCTTTAAAGGAAGCTTGTCATTTTTGTGAGTATTTTTAGTTTAAAATACATTTAGTTTTCACAGAAAATATAAGCATTAGGTTTAGATGAAAAAAAAAGGTTGACCCGTTTTAAAAAGCAAAAGCGCTTCATAGAAATTTATTTTTACCTTTATAACATAATTAAAACGAATACTGGTTCTTTTTAAAATTTAATTTTCGTGGTATCATATGTACATATGAACGCACTTAACAAATCATCCAAAAACCATAACCTATCCCAATGGGCTCGATGCATCCTTTTTTCGGAAGGCATTACCCAGTTGTTCCCTTTTTATTGCCAACAAAGCTCAAGAAACCGAGGGCTAAACCTAATCAAAATTTTGGTGGGGAATGTGGGCATTTTGCTTGGCTCCTGTTATGCTGGAAATTTGGCTCACTAGGGAATTGCCCTGAGAATGGGAGGAAAGGAGAAAATAAGAGAGAATGCTTCTCTTTTGGGGAGACTTCTGTGATATTCCCAGGCTTTTAATAACTGAACAAGCCGCTCATTAATAATTTAAAATAGAGCACCAAATATGCGATGCCCCAGTGTGTAGTCCCCTCTCTTTCTCTGGTTGTCCTCCATCTCTTTCCCACCCCTCTGTCTCTCTCTTTTTCTCTTGATATGGAGTGGTGAAAATATTGTGGAAGTTAAGTTATTTGAGAGCGTTTCTATTCTCTCATTTGTTTGTTGCGTGGCTACATTCCTTCATCGGATACTCGTTTGTCTCCCAATTCTCTGTTGTGGATGCCTTTGCACTTGTCTCCCCCTTTTGGCGTAGCCCCCTCCCTTTCTTTTTGTGTAGGCCCCCTCTCTGTCTCTCTCTCTCCACTTTTGGCTGATGAATCATGCTTTTTGACCACTGCTGCATTTAAACAATGGCTTGCTTCTTAAATAATTTATTTTCGCCAACACTTCCTTGTAGCAGCTACATCAGCAATTTCCTTCTCTCTTTCTTTTATTTATTTCTCTTCTCTTCTTTTGTTTTGTTTTGTTTTCATTATTTTTTTTGTTTACTTCTTGATTTGTTGTGCTTTATTTTTGGATGCTGAATAGGCATTTTTCATGACTTCAATACTTTTCTGTAATAAAAACAAACAAAAATAAAGAAAAAAAGTTTAAAAAACACTCATTTCTTTTAAACAATTTTTTTTCCTTTTATTTTTTCTAAATATTGAATTTAAGAACTAACAAGTTTGCATTTTTTGTATTTGTTAAAAATATTTTTTTCCTTCATTATAAAGTAATTTATGCTTGGTTTTGATATTAATCAATTAGTTAATTCTTGGCAATTTTATATTTCTATTTATTTAAAGTAATCTTAAATTTTTTAGTTTTTTTCATGTGCATTTATAGCTTCTGTTGTCGGTTCTCTGTGTTTGTTTGTGACGTAAGCCGAGCGGAGCGACATAAACCGGAACGCAAAGCTCGTCTTCAGCTGTTCAAACTTTGCCGGCTGCGCTTTCCTTTTATTTTTCCTCTTTTGTTGCGTGCCTGAATGAATTTTCATAGTAGCGAAAATCGTTGTGGAAAACTCACCACGACTGCGCTGCTGGCGCCGCAGCTGCTGCAATTGCTGGTGTTGCTGCTGCAACTAAGATGTTGCTGTTGTCTTGCTGCATGTTGCTAGCAAGCAGTTGCTGCTATATTACTCTTTTAGCTGCGATAATGCTGCTGCAACTGAGATATTGCTACTGCGTTGCTGCATGTTGCTGGCGTGCAATTGTTGCTGTCGCTGTGCTGTTGCTATTGTAGCTGCGATGTTGCTGCCGTATCGCTGATGTTGCTGTCGTACTTTCAGTTCACAATCGTACGTTCGCCGCGGCTGACGTTTCGCTCTCGCTTCCTCTATTCCCGTCTCTTTCGCGCGCCATCTACCGCTCTCTTTCACTCGAACCAGTGGTTCTCAAACTGCAAATATTGTACGTCACAGTGCTGTGCTGCGCTAACTTTTATTTTGAATTTTTGTCGCAGCATCATAAATCACAGCTTAAATAACAAACAAGCAAAGCAACAACAATAATGGAGAGCAATAAATATAATAATCATATTTAATAATTTGTGCACACTTATTGTTGTTATTGCCGTGTGTTATGTGTGTAGCTTATTTATTTATTTGCCTCGTGTGCCGTGTACTGTGTGTGTTTTGTGTTTGTTTATTTGAATTGTTTGCTATTTGAGCAGCCGGAGCCGCGAAATGCTCACCCCAACGATAGGCGGTCTCTAGTTTCAATTAGAAGTCCGAGTTCGGGTCCGTTTCTGCCCCCTCTTAACCCTTATAGAGCTCCCCGGCTTAACCCCTTGCCATCCAACCATCCAGCCAGCCAGCACCCCCACATTTATTTGAATTCCGCTTATTTGCGAGGCTTTGCACGGGTTGAAGTGCGTTCAGCTGCGAAAAGGAAACCAAAACTGAAGGTTATTTTCGAGCTCGAGCAGTTTATTATTATTGCTATCTTTGGGTTTTTTTTCTTCACTTTTTTTGGCAATTACGATTCGCACAGTTTAACGAGACCCAATTCATAATAAACTTAAATACAGTGGTCGCTGGAATAGAAAGTCTTTGATTGGGCAGAATTTGGCAAACATTAAAAAATGAAATGTGAAATGCCCTAGGCACTAATGAACATCAATTAGCACAATTAACTGTGATTGAATGTGTTAATTATTTAACAAATGTATATTTCGTTCCGATACATTAACTGACTTATGCAATTTATAGTTAATAACTTTTAGAGCTCCCAAATTTGTTTGAAGGCTTAGTAAATATCTTTTAAAGAAATTCATTTATCATTTTACAATCTTTAAATTCATTATAACATAAAAAAGGTTTTGTTTTAAAATTAAAAAAATAAATAATTTAAACGATTTTTATCTAAGTATTAAAAAAACATTTTCTTTAAAAAGTCTTTATAAAAATAGGTGACCACTGTACCAAAAATAAAAATGTATCATAATTCGTTCGAGTTCAAGGCGGTGCGTGACTTTGAAGTGTAAACATTTGGCGGCAATGGGAGATAATCATGATAATGAACTTGAGTCTGTGGCCGAGGAAGCTGTATGAAAAATGCCCCAAGAAAAAAGAGAGAGAATGGAAATAGAAATAGACCTATTAAAGATAATCACAACGGCTTGTAATATTATCTAAGATTCCTGTAAATTACTAGCCATGTCGCGCAGCTTTGATTTCCATCAGCTGACTTAAGATATTTTCACCCAGTTTTTTCTTTCGCAATTTGCATGCAACACTGGAAAAGTGTGACGCAAATGCTCGGAATTGCAGTGGCTGTAAAACTGCAAACTCGAGTTGCATTTCGTGTTTTTGATCTCTTAACGAGATTTGCCTTTGACCCAGCTATGCAAAGCACCCACCCTCTTTGATTTTGTCACCCCTTTTTTTTGCTCCTGCCAAATCGCGACCTGCCCTCACCCTTAAATGCTAAATCATGTAATATTGCGTATACGCGGGGTAAGACACAGGATATTTTTCACCCCTCTTAAGAGCAGGATGTTGTAGTTCTCTCTTAGGTTCCACAAGCCGGTTTGTTTTTCGCTCTCCAAAAGAGAGCACACACCCACCACCCACTGCCCACTTTTGGTCGCCCTTGCGCTACTTTTACCGCTTCTTCCTCTTCTTCGCCAGGCGTAACGTAAAACGCCGGCGTCGCAGTCGCTTTTGCAGCGCAGTCGCAGCGCAGTCAACGTCCTTTGTCCCGTTTCTCGTTGACCTCATTTCGTGTGCGAATTCCAAAGCGGCAGGTTGTGCGTCCCGGCGAAAAAATTCCCAAAATAACACCCCAAAATTTTCGAAACATTTCAAGCAAAGAAGAGTGAAAAAATAAGTTTACTCCTTACTAATTTGATTTAAAAACAAGAACTATCGAATTGTTGCGAAAAACCTTGTGTAATTGTGGAAATAGTGGATTGTTTTTCCTTTAATGAATTTTATTTTTCATTATCACAAAACTGTAATTATTTGACAAAAAATAATTGAAGCCATGTGTCGCAATTTTCCTTTGTGTTAAAAATAAATGTTTGAAAAAACTTGTGATTATTTGTCAAATTAAAATGGTGAGAATAGTGACTTTTTCAAAACTTGTTTTTAAGCTCGCCTTTTAAAAGCAACACATTGACAAACAAATTAGTTAAACAATGTGCGAACAGTGACTTCTTTTACATCATTTTGTTTGATTATTTTTATATTTTTGGATAGATAAAATTTTATTCAAAGCTGTGTAACATATTTGTGAAAATAGTGACTTTTTTATAATATTGGCTAAATTACAAGAATTTATTTGTGTTTTTATAATTTTTGTCAAAAAAAGCTGCTAAAATGTTTGCGTAAAAATTTTATTTGCTACCAATACTTGTGTGCTTAATTTATAATTTTGTACAATATATAAACTGCCATCTGAACCTAAAACCACTTGAAAAAAACATGAAAATCAACAACCACCCCTAACATACAATCACCCTAGAAAAAAGTCAAAGCCCCAGAACAACAAAAATGTCTTTCGAGCGGCAAACTTTTTGTGTGGTGCTTGCTGTTGTCTGTGGTCGGTAGATTTATTGTTGTTTTGTCTGCAGATAATATTTGACCTCGTTTACTTGCAACTTCGGCGTCGTGTCTGATAAAAAAATATAGATAAACCCATATATTTCAATCGAGAGTGTGTGCAGTGTGTGGAGTTCATATATCTCCATCGGATTTCGAACCCAGTGAAATTTACGAGAACCACAAAACACAAAAAAACCAAAGAAATGCGTGCCATAAACGAGTGTGTTAGCCCAACTAAATAATCAATTAAATAACATTCAAATAAACTGAACTGTGAGAGCGTTTCTTCGATTTCGTCTTAAAACAGCAGCAACATGGCCGAATTAATCAGTCAGCCCACTAAAATTAACAACAATAATTTTGGTGCCGGTGCGTATATACACATCATAAATAATCCACATAACACATGACTGTATCTTTTTGTTTGATCACTAGAGCACACAAAATTCCTACCCTGTTGTACTTGAATTTCCTGCTCAAGAGGAATTCTTTCGAAGATAAACAAAAAGTTGATGCTTCACTTTTTATAAATTATTTATATTGATTTGGCTTTAATTGGCATTTGTTATGGTTTCTCGGTTTTATTTTAAGCTAAGCGGAATTCAGAGTGTAATAAAGCGTTTGTTTATTTTGTTCATAGTCTCTTAAAATATAAACAAGTTCAGTAAAAAACTGGAAAAGGAAATGGAAAAATTTGGATGGGTTTTAAAGAATGCTTGTGATTGCTATACTGGTAGAAAAACGTATTGACTCCTAAATTTGCTTTTAATCAATTTATTTTGAATATGAAAATATTAAAACTTTGTAAAGACTTCTTTCGAAATTGATTTTAATATCTGAAAATGTAATTTAAATTTAAACCATATTTAACTAAAATAAATTGATTTTAAATCAAATAGAAACTATTCTTCGTATTAATATTATAATTTAATATTTAATTTAAATATTTATTAAAAAATTTTAATTTCAATAGTAGGAAATTTCATTTTAACTGAACACCTAAGGAAGCTTTATTTGCTTTTTTAATCCCAATAATCTTAAACTTTTCTCCGTAAGTTGTCAATAATTTATTTTTGTTTCCCTCGCCGTGCATTCGCATATTTATTCGGTGGATAAAAAAGGAATTCCCCCATAAATTCAACTCTCAATTTAAATTCCACCATCCAACTTCCTGCCGCTCACACACACTTGAAAAATCAACAAAAATTCATATATATGTTTGATGCACTGCCTTAAAAAAGAGCAAATAAATAAATGCATATTTTAAAATATATTGTATATGCGCCAAAAGCCCCGTTTAAAATGCAATACAAATACGAAGAGAAGAATGGCAGGCCTCAAAGTAAATTTTATTAAAATTAAGCGTAAATATTTTGACACAAGCAAAGGAGAAATAAAAGAGAAGAGTTATATAAATGCGACTGCCAGAAGCAGAAACTGCATTTAATTGAAAAATTGTGCAATCCAGTTCTCTCTGCCCTATCCCCCTTTTTATTTTCACTCTGAAACCCGTTTGAAAAGCGACTTCTCCTTCCTCAATTGATATTAATTCAAGTCGAATTGAACTTTATTTTTGTTTATTAGAGAACATTGAACCCAAGACAAGAGGATTGCCGCCGGCAAACTGAACTGAACTGAACAGAACTGACGTCACGGCCCGAGGCAAATCGAAATCATTTATTTAATCAGACATTATAGTATGCTTTATGGACAGCGATAAGCCATAAGCCACAAGCCCCAACCTCCAGACCGCATTTACCTCGAAAGCAAACATGAAACGTAAAACAAACGCATCCGAAACTCATTATGGAATATCGGTTTCTATCTCCGCCTGATTTATTAGTGGCCAACTAGTTTTGGTGTTGCTTTTAGGCTAAATACAATTTAATTAGTTCCTTTTCCAAGTCGTTTTAGTTGTCTAATTATGAATGCCGCCTTTACATTGCAAACATACAATGTCAAATTGATTACATTTTGAGGCTGCCATTCGATGGCTAAATCAATTAGAGAGTTATGGCTATTTTATGATGTAAACGTAGTTAAGATTTACTGCCAATATTGAAATCGTTACATACGATGCACCGATTTCATATTAATTAAATCGAATAAGAGCTTTCAAAGTGCAACCAGGGGCTGTTAAATATCGTGTATGAATTGTTTTTGGATCATACGTTTTAAGTTAATTAACTGAACAGGGAAAATTGATTAAAATTTTATAGCTCTAAATAAAAACGTGTGAGCTAAAGTTTTCTATATTACTACATATAAACAAATTTGTTTAATGAAAAAAATTGGAATAACGAGCTCTTACCTAATTTATATTGCTTTTTCAACCAGTTTTTTTAAGCCTATAGATTTTATGTTCCTCATTTGTTTTCTTATCCCATGCAACTGCAACCCAACCTACTTTTTTCTTATCAGCATATTATTTTACAATCCATACTTAATTTAATATTTTTCAAAAGTCGGTCACGAAAGTAATTAGGTTTTTACAGCTGCTTTAACAATAAAAATAGAACACCTAATGAATACCAGATTTGGGGGTAATTAAAAAAGTATAGTTATATTTCAATGCTTGACTGAAATATAATAATAAATAACTAAATAATTTATTATAACAGATGTATCTGCTTTCTATTTATTTTCTTTAAAAAAATATGTTTCAATTTTAATTAAGATCGGATTTGGCAGGTTCCACTTTTCTGCCAAGTTTTCTGCTTTTCGGCAAGTTTCAGATGAACGATTCGTTAGCACGCAACTCCAGTCAAAAAGTTGGTGCTGTGCCGTGTACAAATACTATTAAAACAGGTGGCCAATACACTCACCCAAATATATATGTTTTTCTTCTTTTTCCATTACGAAAACATGCAACTGGTTGACTAATTTCCAACCCAGTTTTCTTATACACCACGCCCAATCTTTTGAGGAAACTCTCCCTTTCTCCGACTTTTACTTGATTAGATTTGATGAGCTGGCGATAAAAAATAGTTCTATATGGTAATAAAATTTGTGTTTTCCCTCGGGCCGCATGAATATTTCAAAAACTAAGTAATCACGGTTTCTGGGCGCTGTGTTTTTTATGGTTTTTTAATTTTATTATTTGCCTGGTGAATAAATGATGCGTGTGTTTTATGGCAACGCTGATGTATGGGACTGCCAAAGGCGTGGAAAGCTTGGCCAAGCAAGGGTTAAGGCCAGCGAAACTGAAAATTTATGATTGTGTGAAGGTAGGCATTTAAATGAAATGTATTAGGTAATTTTATGTGCTAATAATACAACCAATTTAAGAATTTTCACAAATAAATTAAAATGCTTGTGTTTATGCTAAGCTTTCATAGTTTTTCATACTTTAATTATTTGCTTTTGGCTCACAGTTATTTTAATTAGTTTAAGCTTTATCCTCTTTAAAAATTCCATTATCCCACATTTAATTAGTTACAAATGTGTTTTAATTAAACTGAGACTTTGCTACTTCTTCTCCTGCATATAAATGAACCGCAAAACAAATAGAATTTGTATAAAACGTTGTTTGCCCAGCAAATTTAATATTGATAAAAGTTTGAATTCAATTTGCTGTCGAGTTTAGTGGGGTCATGAACTAAAGGAAAGGCTGAAAATCGATGGAAACGGTGGCTTTCCCAGTTCATTTTTTTATCTTTTATCACGTGTCTGTGCTGGTTGGAAGTTTTTGTCGGCCAAAAAATGACCGCGTCATTTATAAGCCGTTTAATCATCGAGCATTCTTGGACTTTCAGTTCCGTCAGCTGTCGCTACTGCATTTCACTCCACTCTTTCTCTATTTTTAGAGCCTTTTATAGGCATTCTCCAAAAGAGCAAAACTCTCGCAATTAGTCAGCTGCTTGTCGTCGAAAAGTGTCAAAATATTTTTGCTAGCAACAGATCTTCTTTTCCTTATTTTTTTCCTTTTTTTATAATTTTTTTTACTCAGCATTCTATTTTCCCTTGCATTGAATCAGAGAATGTGTGTGCGCGTTGGCGAAAAGCCAGGGGATGGAGAACAAGGGAAAAGCATATATATCTGCTGATGTGACTAAATTTATAGGATCTCTAGTGTTATTACTTCTTTTGAAACTCTTATTATTAAGCCTAAAAGTACAAACTGGATGAATTGAAAAAAAAATAATTAAAATGTAATGTCAGTCCAATTTATTATTATTTATTTGTGTTATTCTAATTTTTAAACTTTTACATGTTGTAGGCTTTCTTCCAAAAACTCAATTTGATTATTTTGTGTTTATCCAAATATTTTTATTTTGTTTATAAAAAAATTAGCACGTTTTTTGTGGTTTTAAAATAGTAGTGGTGTTATTTGGATTTAAAATTTTTTTAATTTTTTTTAATGTAACTATTTTTGTGGTCACATTTGTGGTATGAGCTGCCGTGTGGCGTGGCCGAAATGTCACGTATACGTCGTGTGGCCTGCCTGAGAATCAGCTTCGCCTGCTTCACGATTTTCACGCCTGTCTCGCGCTTTTCCACTTTTCCTCGCCGGCTGGCTCTCTTTTCGCCTTTGTTTTGCTATACTGAAGGTAATTACGTCATTAACAAGAAATTTGGAAAGTGCTCGTCATATCATTTGGCTTGTGTCAACTGTTTGGCTGCCGTTTTCTTTGAGGGGAATAATTGCCGGTCTGTTTTTGGGTAATGGATGCGTTTCGAAAGAAGACACTTTGTTCGTCCGCTGTTATGGGATAAACACGAGCAGAACATTTGCACAGTTTACAAACTATTAGGCATAATAAATTGGGTTAATTTGACTTGATGCAGCAGCAGATATTTTCGAGTAATACAATTCCGGGAATAAGTTTTCCGTACACATTTATATAAGCAAAGCTGTTTAGTTTAATTTTCTTCATTGCTTGTTTATCGAATATTTTTAAGGACTTTAAGTGGGTGGTCTAAATACTACTAGAAATTAAATTTCACTCTTTTAAGTTTGCTCTAAAAATTATATATTTTTTACTATCCACTATACCATGTATATACACTGTGTACAAACGTCAAATAATCTTGTGTAGTAGTTGTAGGGCTTTTTTAGCCTAGTTATTGGACAATTTTAGTACCGTTTGACATAGAACTCTTGAGTAAACACAATTATCCTAATAAGGCAATGTTATCCAATCTATTAGTTGCGCCCAACAGTTTCCATAATTTTCTGGCAAGTCAATAGAACCTGCCTTTCTACCTACCTTTTGCATTTTTGATTATTTGTTTTTGCCTGTTTTGTGTCTTGTCGTTATTTGTTGTCTAATTAGATGTCACAGACATTAACGAACATTTCCAGGAGTGACTGTTCAGTTCTCAGTTCTCAGTGCTATTTTGCTATTTTTGCTCATGGCACGCCTGACTGGCCACGCCCCCAACCGACATATATCATGGGCGGATGGGCGCTGGAGCCTCTGGGCTATTGAACCCACTCAATGCTACTCAACTCTACCTGTCTGTGAAGTATACATATATATATAGTACTATGCGATATCGCTCGCCTTTGATCTGGAACTTGGTTGCCCACAATTTGTCGTCGTCGTCTGGCGCTGACATTGATTTTGATTGCAAACTTTGATGTTTGCATATGCAACTCATTAATGCAATGCCAGTTTTGCAACTGCAACTTTATCGTGGAGTAGAAACTTTTAGCTGCCGCCACGCATTTAATTAAATAAGTTTTCTGTTAACAACTCCATGTTTTAAGGGGTGGGTTGCCTGCAATATTGACAACAATTTATCAAAAACTATTAAGGCTGGCGCCATTTTATGCAAATCACTGTGCACAGTGAGTGTCATTTGTATGCAACCGCCCGGTTCGGTTTGGTGTGTCTGGCTCTGTCAACCGGCATAAGCATCAGCATCACCATCATAATCATATTTCCAGTTCACTTATATAGACAACAACAAAAACAACGCAGCTATATGGTCCTCTTTGTTGGTAATACACAAAGAGAAAATATAATTTTAGGCGATGATAAATTTCAAGAGAAATTTAGTTATTGTGTTAATAAGATATAAATATTTATAATGTTGTAAATCTTATTATGTGATTATATTTTATATATAATATTCTCAATTCTATAAAATCTAAAAATATATTTTATGGCAAAATTGTATTCCATGTCAAAAGATTATTTTAAATTATGGTAAATTTGCAAAATTATAAAAAGTTTAAAAAGATAAGACATTAATAAAATTATTATTTTATAAGGGATACAAAAATAAATTTAATATTCGATAATGAATTTATTGAATTTAATATTCGTACTGTAAAAATCTTAAAATTTATTTTAAAATTTTGTTTTTTGACATAAGAACCACCAAATTCCCAATTTTTTCCTTCTGTGTTCCGGTTCTTTGTTGTCAAATTACCTCCTCCTTTTTAAAAATCTCGGGTTATGTATTTGAATAACCATTTTAGAAGTCAACAACAGCTTATAGTTATGACTCCGATGGCCCCGTAATTGAGTTGCAGTTGAAAAGAGGGGGAAAATGGAAAGTGGGTATGCAAAGCACCCCATGGCCATAAATTGCTTGGGCTTGACTTGCTTCTTGCATTGTTTAAGCCAAATTGCTTTCGAAAAGACAACCAACCTAACAATACTCAGGGGGATCGAACAAGAAGTTATCTCAACACTACAGCATCGCACACACTTTATCGCCTGATTTAACACGGCTCACATATGGGTAAATAAATAACGAGAAATATGTACATTTTATGAAGAGAGTAAGTTATTTTCTGTATGCAATTGTCAAAGTCGCTTTTATTCTCGAACAAAACTGGTTTCTATGTTGTTACTTATAGTAGTTTTGTGGGCAGTCGGGAAAGGAGTGGGTAATATTTTATTGGTTGTAGGGGCTTTGTGGAGGTCGTTTTGGAGTGGTCATCTCAATCAGTGTCAGAACAGTGACTTAAGAGTTGTGAAGAGTTTGACAAATGATTGCTCAAGTGCCAATTTCCTTATTCGGATGGTGGTAATCCGATGGAAAACGGGAGATAATCAAGAATTCTGTGATGAGGAAGTGTAAATGAGGAAATTTGAATAAGAGATGTAGGAGCTAGATAAAATCAAACAATTAATGTATTTTCTAACACAAAATATTGAATTTCGATTTTTATATTAGCAATCAGTTATGGCTATGCAATACAAGTTCAATAGTTGCCGCTGCTGACCCACTTGTTTTATTTTTTCATCTAACCACATAAAATGCTCATTTCTGTGCCTTCTAAAAATAGCGAAAAAAACAAACACAAACTGAAATCATTAATGCAATCAACAAACCAGGAAAACCAGGCACGCCTCCCATTGAAAACCCCTTAAAAAACAACAACAGAAACCAATTTTCATGCCTCACTGAACATTCAAATAGGCACTTTTTGCTAAATGTTATTATTTGATCATTTCCACAAACAACAGAATTAAAAAGAAAACTTAATTATACAGATGGATTAAAGAGGGGAAGGGAAATTTCCCCTCGAATACAAAAATAAATTCAGAAATGCATTTTCTATTTTCGGCTGAATATTTTTAGTTGGTGTAAAATTTTGTTGGTTATTCATTTGGGGAAATGGAAATGCAGTCCCCTCCCCAATTTTCTATCTCTGGGGTCACACTGTTTATTATGGGAGACCACGCTCGACTGATTTATGTTCGTTTATAACAACGAAATCTGTGTTTTGTTTCCTCTGTTTGTTTATTTTGAAGTTTTCCCAACATGTATCTTGATTGGAGCCATCATTATGCAATCACTGAATATCACTTAATAAATCTCTCACATTTCATCGCAATTAAGTGATTTGTTTGCATAAATTTATTTGTGTATATATTTTCCTATTTACTTTCAGGCGTCACAATGCGAGAGAAAAAGGGAGGAGCCCTTCAGAAGCTCAAGAAGAGGCTATCCCACAGCTTTGGCAGATTAAGTGAGTACAAATTAATAATCTTTATATTATAATTAAATAATTTCAAGAGAAAAAACTTTGGTTGGGTTGCCTTGATTTGTCAAAATTCCCAGGAAAAATCTCTCAATGAAGTTGAGTCATTCCGTGATTTGTGTGCCATGTGGGTGCAGTATTTTTCAAACAATAGTTAGTTATGGTAATGCAATAGTCTATAGATATTTTTATATGTATACATGCATTAATGCTTTTGAAGTTGCGGATTGGGAAAAACTTGTTTAAATCAAGAAGGCGTTGAAGAAAATGTCAAATGACAATTAGATACAAGCGAGTGGAAGCTTAGAATATATTGAAGAGAAAATTTAGTTTCCCATCAATTTGAAATAATTTGAATGCATAGGAAATCAAAACCAATTCATCTTAATTTGTTGTCCTTTAATTCCTATAACTGCAGCGTTTAAAACCCGATTCCACTTCAATTTTTCCCATTCAAATCATCAAGTTTTTTCGCAGCTGTTATGAATTCAAAACATTTCCCCAACTTCAATCAACCTTCCGTCCAAAAAATAGAACCCGTTAACTCATTCCATCTCGAAGTTCTGCATTTAGACGAACAAAAACTGCAGTTCCTCAATTCTGTCCTTCAGTTTTTTCTGACCAAAACACAATTCCCAAATAAAAAACGATGGGTAAAACGCAATTTTTATTTAAAAAACTTTTCTCCTGCCAGACCGCAACGGATACAAAACACAAAAAAAGTAGATGCAAAATAAATTCGCATGTTCAGACAGGAACTTATCGATTTTTGGTGTTGCCATTGGTGGGAAAAGCTTTTAATGGTCTAAAAAAGCCTTTTGATGGGTTGTCAGTTCAGCTCTTTTCGTTTTCGTTGGGGTAATTGAATGCACTCGTTGCCAGTCAAATGCAATTTGACAGACAAAAGAGCCCGGAATGTGCCAAAAATGGTGGGAAGTATAAACAAATTTTGATAAATTACTTGATCGAATGTGGATAGTTGCGGTTGCCATTTTATGCATTTCATGAAATGGACAAATACACGTGTGAACAAATGCGTGAAAATTTTTAAACGCAACCAACTTAACTCTGTATAAATAAAGTTGCAACGATACATCTGTCGTTGAATTGAAATTCTTCTTCCCCTACTAAGGGGATTTTGTCTTCGCTCGACTTTATTGTTATATTAGATTTTTTGTTCGCTTTGGCTATGATAAAAGTAATGATAATCAGCTAAAATAATAATACTGTAAAGCTTCCAAACTTGTAAAATTAGAGTTAATTTACACGTATGGTATATCTGCTAATATTAAAAGGGGTTATTTTGATTTCATGTATTCAAGAATTCATGAAATTCATAGCATAATCATGGTATGTGTATAGATAGATAGATGTTTCCCCCTCTAATTTTTGGAATTTCATAAAATTCGCCATGCATTTATGATGGTTTATTTAGGCATGACATGGAAACCCGTATAGTTTGCATCATGTTGACTCACTGAAAAACCCGTTTCGGTTGCTTGATTTTGCGGCATGCGGCTAATTGTCTTTCAACGCCCACGCAAACTGTTTTTTATTTTCGGTTTTGTTTGGCTTTTTTTATGTTTTGCTGCCTTCATTTCTTGTTCCAGAAACTAGTTCGGCGAACAGCTGATTTTCTTCCCATAACCGGAGCGATTTAGTGTTTTTTTGCGGCCTGGTCAGGGGCGTAGTTAAAGATATGGTGGTATGAATTGTAAAACAAAGTTCGATTTTAAAGGTAAGCCCCTGAATAGCTGATTAATGGTCTTGTTTGGCTGAATATCTAACCATTTTTGGCTTGAGTATTTAATTGACATTTTGTGTCGGGGCCTTAGTTTTGAAAGACTGAAAATATGGGCCTTATATGGTTTCAAAAGGTGGTTGAAAATCTTGTTTAAGGTTTCTGTTAATGATAAATTCGCAAATTAGTAATAATTCAAGGAAAAAAGGATTATTTAACTAAACACATTACTTACATTTTTTTTCAATAGTGAATTAAAAATTTTTTTAATCTTTTTTCTTGCCAAACATTATTCATCTTATTTTCTTTTATCAAACACTCTTCCATCAACTTTTTCAACTCATGTTCAGTGAGCAATTTTACTATTTCATTTCGATGAAAGATGAAATTTTCAGCGAATTTTCTCCACCGCATCCGATATGTCAGGGATTTCTCCTCGGAGTTGCAACTTTTGGTACAACACCCCCATCAACAATTGGGCAATCCTTCAACCGGAAACAATTTCAACTGCAACTTGAGCTAGCATTGAAACAATTTCTCACGATTTTGCCATTTGGGAGCAGCTTCTGTGTTCGCCTCGGCTCATAAATGCTGCATTACCCAAAAACAAGAAACAGAACTAGTAAAGTTGACTTTATTTCAGCTGAAGTTTTAAATGTTTTTATTGCATTATTGAGGAGTTTGACGCAGCAGCAGCTGGTGAAGCAACTGAAAAACGAAAAAAAATGAAACCAAGGAATGTCACTCGAGTTGCAAGTTGCAAGTTGTCTGCCAAGGCCATTACAACAACCCACTAACAGTTGTTGCTGGTAGCTGTTGGACTTGTCTTGGTTGTTTGTCAGCGAACTGATACTTGCAGCTTAACTATCGTTAATTGCCGCACGAGCTGCCGCTTGTGTTCCCTCCTTTTTAATTATACCAAGCTATGTGTCTGTATCTCACTGTCGCTCCTTCTAAACTGCTTCATTCGCCAGCCATAAAAGTTATGAAGTTATAAGACGTTGCACAAGAAATTAAGTACCTACACTTGACAAAAAAACGTAAAAAATATATCATCAATCAGTTGGAACAATGGTTACCTAAGCAATTTGATAATAGGTTTTACTATCTCATGTAAGAATAAGCTAAACCTCTTTAGAATAGCAGAAAGGCACTTAATTCTCTTATTTATGGAAATTTCCTTTACTTAATAAAAATCTTTTTTCCCTGTGTAACTGGCAGTTAACTAGGAAATTCACGGCGTTTCCTCTTCAGCTTTGGATGAGTGCATTCCATAGATCAGAAAAGTACAGAACTGGAAACACATACACATTTACTTGCAGCGATCGAGATTTCTTTGTCTTCTTGTGTTTTTTTTTTCGTTGAGCTTTACATAACTGAGAATGATTCATTGGAGTCATGACTCTTGTGTTCGTGTTCTTTGATTATGTCTATAAAATGATTTAACGATAGGAAAACATTGTTGCAGTTGTATTTTCAGGTTTGGCTTAGCCGCATTGTGCTGATAAATTTATTCATATCGTGTTTCAGTCATGTTTGTAAATATTTGCATTTTTTATAAATAAAAAATGTGTAATTAATTTTGCGATAACATATATTTTTGACTGAGAAATGTCTATAAATGCCTACTAATGCCTAAGTTCTCTTAAATTGGGTTTTAAACTTCACTTGAACCACTTAAATCTGCCGAACTGGATAGAGAAATAGCTACAAACTCATCCAACTCAAGTGAAAGATCCTCAACTTTTTTAACCAACAATTGTGACACTTATCCCACCTCCCATCTTTTTTTTTTCCTATGAAATAGAGGATAACTTTGCCGACTGAAGTGAGATTCTTGAGATACCTCAAGGCTCCTTTGCTCCTTATTGGTGGTAATATTTTATGGCGTCGAATGTCCGACTTTGACACTTGGTTGTCGGCTATATCATCATCATCATCATCATCTTCGTCGTCGTCGTTGTCGTCTCTATTTCTTTGTGCCAGTGATACAGTTCTCTACACAGTGTTTCACCTCGCTCTTTACTATGTTTTTATTCTTTTACTCGTTTTCGAAGGCTTGTCATAATCCTTTCTGATAACATTTTATGTCACAAGCCATGGCCAAACACACTCGACGTTGTCTATGGCTTTAACCCTTGACTGGTGTCCGTCCAACTGGCTGCCAGTCGCAGCCACTTGATAACTTTACACTTGAGCTCTCACTGTCGCTGCTATTTTCAGTCCTACTCTTCTCAATGGCAAAAAAAAAGCAGGAAAGAAAAAATGTATAGTATATAAAAGAATCAGCAGCCGAAGACGAAGCGCGATAAGCAGCTAATGGCCGCCGACTGTTGATGCTTCCTCCATCGTCTCGCTTTTATCTCCCAGAAAACTCCACTCCACCCTCTATATATAGTGTGGTATCTCCCCCACTCACTTTCCGGGTCTTTTCAATGCCCACAGATGAGCTCAACTGGACCCTGCCCGCATATGTGCTGCTGATACAGTGATAACTGCTTTGGGGGATTTTTTTTCATTTTGTGCATGATTCATGGAGTGGCGGCTGAGGTTTTCTGCACAACAATGCGGGTCATAGGCTTTAAATTGATTTGGAAAACTCCTTGGAAGTGATAAATAATCAATTTAAAACTAATTGACTGGCTTTCATTAAAGACACTGTAAATTATAAGAATTTTTGCAGCTTTTGTTTAACTGTTGGAATGCATTTATTGAGTTTGCTTTGAATAATTATTTTTTAACCCTTACCACACTTCCTTGCACTTCTTGAACCATCACTTTTTATTCTTCTTAAAATATTTTAGAAATAAACTTAATTATTTTCTTAAATAAAAAGAGATTAGTTTCACCCTTTTTAAATATTTCCAAGAAGCTCTCTCTCTTATAAATAATGGAAAATTAGTTGATCAACGAATAAAATCAGTTAAAGTTGCATTACAGCATGTAAAAAGGTTGTTTTGAAGTGTCAAGCAATATATCCATAAACTTTATACCGAGTAAACACTGTACCGTCCATTCAAGTGCCACTGAGCAGATTCCGCTATCAGAACACGCATCGTTTCTCGCTTTCTCATCGCCTTTCAGCATTGTATTTACGCTCTGATTTGTGAAGAGCAGAAAACGCTACAGATGCCATCGGCCCCGCCCACCTAGCACCACCAACCCGCCGCCTTTCCCCTTAACCCTCCGATGCCCCAACTTATCTAAAGATTTTGAAGTACTATACGTATGTGTGGACAAATCCGCT